TGCCCAAAGATGATGTGACAAACATACATGTCCAAAACGTCATGTATAACTTCACATATGAAATGTTTACCAACAAAATAAAATAAAAAAATAACAACAAATATTTGCAACCCTGTATCCATTCCTTTCTTAACCCAGCTAATTTTGTGTGAGTATGGATTCTTTGTGGTTTCAAGTTGAAGTGCTTAGAAAGTAGATCCATAGATTACATTCTCGGTGCACCCGTTGTCAATCAACAAGGCCCATACCTTCCTATTAATGGTGCATTGTGTCCTAAATAGAGCAGTACGATGAGAAATGTCAGGCTGTCTTGGCACTAATAGTAACTTTTCCAAAATATAAACCATTTGTACTCGTTCATCTGGTACTTCTCCTTTTATTTTTGGGTGCTTGTTTTCGGATTCTATATCTATTGAGTGTCCCTCCTCTAATTCTCCTTAAAGTAATTATAGCTTCTACGGGCTTAGATGCACCTAAAGCATTTGAGAGTGCTTAGCCGAGCATAAGCTTTATCTCCCTAATTGGAGCTTTGGATTTATTCAGCAATTTTCGATCTTGAGTTGTGCCTTCACCACCTGAAGAAAGTTGCTGTGCTGGGGATTTGTTTGCATGAGAATTGAGCTTAGCAAAGTCCCCGGGTGGTTCATTAGTATGTCACCTACAAGCATGATTGTAGTTTTGCCCGTGCAATTGCAATTCAGCTTTTAAAGCATAATTGATGGCTTGGGAAAGTGTCCACATCAGATTAAGCCCAAACCTGCCTTGCATTGCTTCCTTCAATCCTCCTTTATACTTTGCTACCAATTAATTTGTGGATTACTTTATGTTGTTGCTAACACTTAGATGATAAAACTTCTTAGTATATTCAGTTTTAGTGTTATAGTGCACTGACCCTGCATCCAGTTGATATTTCAAATATAACATTTGTTCGAAATAGGTGGGGAGGAAATGTACATTGAGGAGCTGCTTCATCTGAAACCAACTATGAATTGGACCTTTTCCTTCTCGATGATGACACTATAACAATTTCATCCACCATGCACTCACCCCTCCTCTTAGCCTTTAAGAAACATAATTGACTTGTTTTTTCGGAGGCTATCTCGATGTGTTCAAAGAACATCTCAATGATTTATTCTCAATCAAGTGGTCTTTGATGTGTAATTGACCATCAAAGAAAGGCTTGTCAAGCTTGAGTTTGCCCTTCCCTCTGTCTTTGTGGTTCATAATAAGGGAAATATTCATCATATGTTGAATAGTAAGCATCATGATTTTGTAAAAAGTCACAGTTATCTTCCAAATCTGTAATGCTGTGAGAACTTATTGTTTGTCTTTTTCGATTGCGTTCTCTTGTTGTATGTAGATAAGCTACTGGTGTGGTTGTTGAAATTTGCGTGTGAGCAATTGGATTATGAAATAACATATTTGAAAAATTCTGTAGCTCGTTCCTCACCTTCATGGAGAAGCGAAAGAGCTAAGCTATCAAAGCATCAATCTGTCGAGTGAGGCCCACGAGCTGGCCACGGGGCCTCCACACTTCGATCTTCGTCAAGAGAGGCACGCCTATTTACTTGGCCATCTCGGCCACGATATACTTGCTCTGATAGCAATTTGACATACAAGCTTCCTAGAACAAATGAAAAATCTTAGAACTTGTACTATATTCTATATCAAAAATTGAAAAAAAACCTTCTTACAAACCTTTAGACTGTTTTGTATATCCTTCTTTCTACCATTCAAGCAAAACAACAAAAAAGTGTTAAATGTATTGGATAACTAAAAATAGTATAATGCTACTAATAGATGAAGTGCTAAGTGTAGAAAAGATAAGGTGTGCTATAACTCAAGATATTAGTATACTAAGATAGTTTGCATTAGGTTGGACATTGTATTATAATTTTTATATCTTTAAAATATTGTATATAAACTGAATAAGCATAAAATTAAGAATAATTGAGAAATAATAAGTTATTTAACTAAAATTTATGCTTGAATGATTAATATTAGGATGTCTAGAGTCGGACGTTGATGTTGAGATGACATCGATTGTTGATATTGAGATGATGTTGGACAAAATGAGTTGCCGAGATAGTGTAGGGGGCATGATTGTGGGTGCAAAGATTGTTGTCGTTGAGCATCAATATTGAGTAATATTAGACTTCGATGTTGATATGATTTTGAAAAATTGACGTTGTGACGACGTTGGTCGTCGATTTTGAGATGACATCAGACATTTTTTTGAAACCTAGCCGCTACTCGCTAGAGAGAAATGAAAATGAAATATTTAGATAATGAGGTATTGTGTGCAGATGATTGATTTGGGGTTGTAGAAAAGAAATTAGAAATTTAGCTTTTTAATTTTTAATATATAAACATTTGAAATACAATAGCTTATACTGAAGAATTTTTTTTCCATAAAATATTTAAGACACATGTCCGTGTCCAATTTATTTTTAATATTTTTTTTAATCGAACAAGTCTTAGGCATGTTAGACGTGTATCATATTTGATACATGTTGGATATCAGATACCTCACTGAGGATAAGTGTGCATTATAGGGATTTTTATTTTTTTATATGTGAGATCAAATAAAAAATATATATATTTGAATTTAGCCCTTTCCATAATTTCTCATTTCTCATGTATCTCGAACTTTTTGTCATCGCCTCAAGAGCAGGAAATTTTTTGCATTTTTCCTTTGTATGATGGACATTACAATATATGTTTCTCTTTTAGAGCTAATTTTAATGTTGTAGATGCGCCAACATAGTCCGTTTCATGAACATGTGCTGCTTGTGTGATTTTTGTATGATGTTTTAGTTGTTATGTTTTGTTTGTGTTTGCTCGAATTGATCATGAGAGGTTCTTTCTTGTTAAATTTGATGCTCTGGATCTGGATGCATCAATCATATTCGATTTAAGATGTGGGCGCTTGCTCGACAATATCAATTATGGTTGAGGCATTTCATCCTCAATTTGCGTGAAATCACTTTTGTTGTTTGTCATTTTCGTTGCATCCAATCATATTGATTGTGGGATACATACGGTGGTCTACATGTCTTCAGTTGATATTGATGATTTTTTGATTGGTAATAACCCTCTTGTTCCTTCAGTTTTGGAAATTGGGTCTTCTGATTTATTTAGTGCCTTGCTCAGGTTAGACATTTTCCAGCCTATTAAGGATCCTGCTCCTCTTACCATTTTTCTTCCATTCATGCTATAGTTATATTTTCCAATTTTATAATTGTAGTTTTAAAGTGGAGAGTTATTATGATTCTAGGTCATTCAAGCTCTAGAATCTATTAAAAGTTTTATTGATTCATTGGATAAAAGATTTCAGCTGAGATTTTATCATTGATGCACTATTCGGAAGAAATTTGATTGGAAGAGATGTTGTTTCAGTGAAGATTAGCGAACGGCAAAAGAAAATTGGGAAGAACACCCAAAAAATCTTTTTTTATTGAAAGAACCAAGAAGAAAAACACAAGATATAGTTGAATCTTTAGTTAGAGAGGAAGATCCGGCTCTCCCAAATCCCTAGCTGTCGGCTTGAGCCCGCTCAACCTAAGCAAAATTAATTTCAGCAAAATCAATCATAATCTAAAATCACCCCATAGTTAGCCTTAAATAGGCTCCTATAATTCCCTTCCAAATCAGACTAATTTCCATAAATAATTCCCCCTTAGATTCGAATTCAAATTAGATATCTTTTCCTAATTAATTCCCTCTCAATTGTAATTAGAGCTTCCCTAAATAATTCCCCCTTGATTCATCCTTACATAATGAATATTTACTCCCCCGTGCTTTCTCTAAATAATTCTCTCATATTTAAAATTCAAATTAGATTTCTTTCCCTAATTAATTCTCTCCCCATTGTAATTAAAACTTTCCTAAACAATTCCCCCTCTTCTTGCCTGTCGCCCACCCTAGTGGGGCCCATCGGCTCAGTCGCCGGTCCATCAAAATTCTTTCACCACTCTCCCAGATTTACTAGATTTCAAGGGAGATGTAATAACTGCCCTAATGATTTTGGCATACTTGACTTGGTTGGTGTCTAAATGTTTGTAACTTTGTATGATTCACTTCTCTATGATAGTATTTACAATGCTTTGTATAGCTTGATATCATGTTCTTTTTCCTTGATGGCAGTCTTATGTACGATTTATTAAAAAAAAGTTTCAGTCAGAGTTATTGGTAAGTGGTAATTCTAATCTGTTTCATAGTTCCATTTCCATTTGAAGCATTCCTAAGGAAAGTCAGTGTAATGTAATAATATTCTCATGGTAAAGTGATTTGCATATAACTGTTACATTGTGCTCGAGAAAAAAGTTAGGAAAAATGTTAATCCAGTACTCCGATTATCTTTTCCTTAGAGGTCGATGGTTCTCCTTATTTTTATCCATTCTAGACATTACCCAGGAATCAGATTAGTGAGAAGACTGCGCTTTTGGATTATGTTAAGGGAGATTTCTTTTAATACTTAACCATTCTTGCTAAACCATGTCTTTGTTGTTTATTGAGTGGAAAAATCCCCAAATAGGCATCTCTCTTGCTGACAGCCCTCAAGTAGACATTCCTCAAATCAAGAACCATAATTATTTGTGAGGCAAGTGTCTAAAATACGAACTTAACACTGATTCAACACTGATTCCTGGACTCACATGAGAAAAAAGTTTCTATCTTATGAAATATAAATCTTGGGTTAGTACTTACTGGAGGAAAATAATAGGTTGCATTGGTAACTGAATAGGCTTATATTCTCTTTTAAATGATGTTTAGATTTATCTAACGTTTGATTTGCCTTAAAGGTCTACGAATTTTACTAGAGCTGTTATTCAGAGTGTTTCACTAATCACATTATTGCATTTCTCATTTGCATGTCCTTCATTCAATTTTGTTTTCAGAAGCTAGATTATCACCATGAGTAGCTACACTGCAAATATTCATTTAAGCAACCTCATATTCAAGACGTCTGATATTTATTGTTCTCAAATTTTTTTCAGTTATCAAGAGGCAATCGAAGATGTTACCTTAAGAATGGGTGCAGGAATGGCCAAATTTATGTTCAAGGAGGTTCGTGATACGTAATTCTATGATATAATACTATAGCTATACGATATATACTTCTGAATTGATTTGATTTTTCAAGAATAAGTAGCGAAAGTTTTATATCGTTTCTCATTATACATATAAAATTTTCATTCTTGATTTTGCTCCTGTTATTGGATTTCGATGGAGGATCTATGATCTGCTAACATTATGATTGTTTAATTTATCAAATACGTGTGAAAATGTGTGTTAATATAGAAAAATAATAACATGAGGAGAAACCTTCTGAATGTTTTTTCAATAACACAGTTAAAATTAAGAAGGAAATGGCAAACCATTGAAAGATAAATGATAGTGATAACAATTGCTTTGAATATCTTTAGGTTTGGATTGAAATATATTATTTTTAACAGAAATATTTGCTGTTCATGCAAAATATGTAAGTATCTTCATAACTAATATAAAAAAGTATATCGAGTCAATGATGATTTTTGTATAATCTTAATTTAATTTGAAAGTATTTAATCCCTTCACAAAATTCTGATATTAGTTTTTTTTTTTTTTTTTAAACTTCTGATATTAGTTAGTGCTCCATTATATGTATGTTTATTCTTTGATACTCAACCTTCTCAATTCTCACTGAATCAATTCTCACGGTATTTTATCATATGCCTTGTCAAGATCAATAGAAGTTATTTGAATATGCTCTCCTTACTCTCTGTAATATTTCACGAATTGTTTTAGACCTATGTTGCACCGATACACCTATTTATGAAGGCGTGTTGTATCCGATACACCGATACACGGATATGCCTCTGATACTCCACCGATAAGTGTCGGATACGCCAAATCCGTATCCAATTAAAATACTATTTAATTTCAAAAGGACACATATCCGATACGCGTGTCCGTTGAAAAACAAAAAAAAAATCTGAAGAAAAAAGACGAGTCGTATTTACTTCCGGGGTTGCGAGCAAGATTCTCTCATTTCTGAGATGGATTTGAGTCTCTTGATGATATGAAAATATTAAAAATTACTAATCTTTCACTTGATGAGCTTGAATTAGAAGCTGTGATATTTATTAAAGATGATATAGAAGTTCAAAGACAAACCAATGAAGAAGATAATTATATCATTCATTCTATTGAATAGTTGAAACTTCATGTCTAGATAATTTATGTTTATGCTTTTGTTGTTGTACTAGACATTTAATGCTTACTTATATTTTGATATTATAAGCTACAAGGCTGCAAATGATGTTGTTTTCATTTTTTTTTTCAAATATTATGCTTTGATTAATTTCTTAATTTTTATGTATGATTATAAATTATAATGCCGTGTCCGCACCGTAGCCGTATCCTGTATTTTTAATAATTGACGTATCCCGTATCCGTATCGTGTCGTATCCGTGTCGCCGTATCCGTATCGGTGCAACATAGTTTTAGACTAAGATTGTTTTCATTGTAGATATTCATGGAATAGAATCAAAATGATCATCTTACATTGATGTATTTTTTTAATTATATGTTCCATTATACTCCTAAAACTTAATTTTATGAGACACTAATTTGATTAATCTGTGATTGTCAATATCTTGAGTATCTTATTTGTTTTTGAATATTGGTATCAAAATAAGTTTTCAATATTTTGGAATTCTAACGATCTTCAAAATTTCTTTGAAAATATTTGTTTACCTAGCCATAGCTATATCCTCCATATCTCTCTAAAGTTTCATAAATATCTCATATGGACCTAATGTCTTATCTATATTCTTTAGAGTACATAACACTATGGTTATTTTAGGTTAATTTATTTTATATCTAATTATTTTATTTATAATGCTCTTCTAAAATAAATTTTTCTAAAAATTGCTATTTAATAATTTTTCAAAAAATATTTTCATCTTTTATTGTTCCTTCCATCATTAACTAAGATTTGTTATCTTCTCTTCTAATATGTCTAATTTGATCCAAGTCTCTAGATCTTTCTCGGGTCTTAGTAATTTTATATGTTCTATGTTCTTATTCTTTTATACAAGACTATTATATAAATCATCAAAATCTATAGCTTTTGCTTGCTCAGTACCCTACTTGCAATATTTCTCTTTATTGTATTCATTATATGCTTTAATTGTAGCTAGCTTTCACAACGTTTTATTTGCACATTTTTGTTCCTCAATAATCTATTCACCTCAAAATGTCCTTACTGTATGATCTTTTTCTAATCTCCTAAAAAAATTATCTTCATAGTGGAACTAACATTCTTTTCATACTATATATTTGACTCAAAATAAAGAAATATAATTTACCTTGTAGCAATCTATCTTGAAAGATTAATAATTTTATACTTTTTAAATGCAACCATCTTATCCGAAGGCAATCATTTCTTCCAATTATTTTTTTACCATTCCTAAAAGACTGCATCCATATTCCATAGTTACCATATGCTGTGTGATCACACTCTCTTGTGGAATTAGCCTAGATCTTTGCAAATATATGTTTTCTTCCAAATAAAAAGAAATCTATTTCTGATTTGGTTGCTCCAACTTCTTTATTTTTGAAAACAATTGTTTTACTGATCGTATATCAATATTCATCTATTTAACTTTTTTTCTCAACCGGTTTATAGTGATTCATTTTACTAAATTACTCTTTTGTTTCCTAACAAATCAAATCTGAAATACTTTCCTTTCCAGGTAGAGACTGTTGATGACTATGATGAGTATTGCCATTATGTGGCAGGTTTAGTTGGCTTGGGACTATCAAAGCTTTTTCATGCTTCTAAATTGGAAAATGTGGTTCCAGATTTTCTTTCCAATTCAATGGGCTTGTTTCTTCAGGTTACTATCACACACCATCTGGTGCATTGCATCTCGCTTGTAGTGTTTGATCACTTGGAGGAGTTGTCTTCTGAATGGTGGATATTTTCATGATTTTAAATGCAGAAAACAAATATTATAAGGGATTTTTTGGAAGATATAAATGAGATGCCAAAGTCTCGTATGTTTTGGCCTTGGCAAATTTGGAATAAATATGCTAACAAACTAGAGGTTTCATTCTTTTGCTCTTTTTCTTTTTCTCTGGTGATTTTATTTCTTTGCATGCGTGCTGGTTTGATATTTGCTTTGCATTCTGAAAGCTGAAATTTTCTTCAGTTTGCTGCGGTTGATGTAATTTTCTTATAGGTTTGAAAAGTTTTAGAAATTAGAAGACCTGATTTTATACGGTGTAGCCCTGAAAATTTTGTGCTTTCCATTCCAGGATTTGAAATATGAGGAGAACTCTGTAAAAGCAGTGCAATGCTTGAATGACATGGTAACCAATGCGTTAGTTCATGCTGAAGACTGCCTCAAGTACTTGTCAAATTTGAAGACTCATAGTATATTTAGATTCTGTGCCATACCTCAGGTATGAAGAAAATTCTATAGAATTTTGGAAAGTTTTTCGAGTTAATTGCATCATATATATGTATTTTCTAAGTAAATCCTAGGAGATGATTTTTGGTTGCGGCTTATTCTGATCCTATTTCTCCCTTTCCCCCATCCCAGTTTGGATTCTCTCATCCTTGTTTCATCACTGGTCACCTTTGTTGACCTTTTTGGTTTATGTAATTCTATGTTCCTCTCATTTTGTTGATATGTAATTGAGGCTAAAAGAAATGGAAACTTTCTCCCTTATTTACTTGTTCAAGATATACTGTAATGTTGCTAGTTTGTACGTTCATCTGCTTGGGTTGAGTAATGATGTTCTTTTTTTCATATTAAAAATCTTATATTTCCTGTCATTATCATATGAGAAAGGGGTAAAACTTTGTTGTTATTTCTTAAATTACTATTGACTGATGCAGCACAATTGACAAACTGAGAAAGTGATACGTAGCACTGATTGCCAGGCTATCAAATTCCATATTCGCTTGTACATAGAAGTGCTAGGATTCAGTACTCTGATCTTTTTGCTTTTTCATGATTGTTTGGTTTTGATTTCTTCGCCTTTGAGGTTATTTTATAAACGAGTTTTGTATTTTTGAATGAATTATACCGTCTCAGATAGCCCTCAACTCAAACTGATAAGATAACCCAACTTATCATAGTCTAGTGGTTAAAGGGTAACATTCTCAAAACTGCTGCTAGAACAGGTCATTATAATAAGAATGAAAATTGAAAAATTATCAACTTGCATTGGTATCTTCTAAATCTGAGATGATCCTTCAACTCGTATCTGGAACAAGATTGTTGTACATTAACCACTATTAAATGTAATGATCAAAATGGTCAAACTGACTTTTTAGGAAGGACGAAAATGATCCCAACTATTTAAAAATCGCATTTAGTCTCTTGTATTATTAAATAGAGACCTAATTGGTATCACAAAATGATTAATTTCATCCTTATTTAAAAAGTTAAGTGATAAAATTAGTACTTTTATATAGTCAGGGGACTATTCTGATGATTTGGAAGAAGTTAGGGCCCAACTCGATTCTTTTCTCATTGCTATTATGTACCTACACATCAAGTTTAATTAAAACCAAATGTTTTACTTAAAAAGCAGTTTATTTTGAAATAAAAAATGCCTGCATAATAATTTACTAAAAAATCCAGCACTATTGAATTTTGCTGATGCACTATAACCCTTTTATTGTGATAAAGCCACTCAGCACTTAGTTGTAGTTCTAGATGAATTTAGGGTTCTTTGTGAAGTAAAAAAAAGAACCCATTTGAGTGCCCCTCCAAGGGTTATATTAGTTACAAAAGCATCCCTTAGTTTCCTGAGTAGAGTCAGTTTGATGTACTAAGGAGTTAATTGATAGGAAATACTCGTTTGCACAAGTAAACCTAACCCAAATCAATTACCTAAGCCAAGTAAACTGCTGTCCGCAGCAAGAACACAGCTCAAACAGAAAAAACTGAGAGAAAACGTAGGGAGAAACGTAGAAAAACGATGCAAACGTTTTTATTTCAATAAAGGATGAAAAGCACTTGCAAGATACAACTTTCCTTCAATTCGAGAGGAAGGAAAAACTCTCCAACGATCTCCGGCAACGCCAAGAGCCCAAGAACAACAAACCCTAGATCTCCCAAGAAATTCAAAATCAAGAT